GAAATCAGACAATTTTTCGAATTCATCAATATAATTCCCTTAAGCCGTTGTCAGACGTTACAATTTAAACGCTACAAAATTTTTGTTCCCAAATAGAATTTTTAGAGCCTGGAAACCACTCGCTCAACACATATTGCTTCCTTCAACTCGCTGAAAATATTTAGATGCAAACTTCGATCCACTCCACTAGATGAAACGGAATTTTCATCACTGATACAATTACGATTACAATTCAGCAAAAGAAAAGAGATTAAGATAGCTACCTTACCACTCCATTTTCAGTAACTGTTGGAATTAAGATTTCGTACTTTACTCTGATAAGGATGACTTTTAAACAATGTAAACATAATTGGAGTTTTTTCATCAATTTTCATGGCTGTTTCATCTGTTGGCTTCGAAATAAGATTTCTTCACGCACCTCGTTCCTGAAACTTTTCCTATTCCGAAATCATTTCGCTTAAAAGCGATTTTGCTGTCACTGAAGAGTTCGATGATGAAATAGTTTTATGATTTGATTTTGATGAACATATACATCATTTAACAACAAATAACAAACAACCAATCCAATTCACAGTACAATCATCAGAAATATATCAATCAAAGAAACACAGTATAATTATGAACAATTGTACTCGGTTCCTTATCTTTATAATTACACTACAAACATAGTGTAATTACAAAGATAATAGCAATAAATAATCACAACGATACAAACGCTACTGATAGTCATTGAACAATGCATAGATGAACAATAAATAACATCGCTTCTTAATCGATCCAACTGTCAACAATTTATCACATCACATTTTACTTTGATCATATTAACAAATATATCATTCGATCCAATTTAAGAGTTAACTTCCATTTGATAGAAATATCTCAAATTATTTACCACGGTGCCCTTTAATTCAGACAATGAGCAATTCAACAAGTAACATTTTGTGAATTATTTCAAATACTTAATTCTGACCCAATTCATTTGAACCAATAAATACTCAGTGATCTCATCACAAATTTGACAGTGATATTGAGGTTATTTTATGGTAACAAATATTGTTGGTATTATGCAAAAGGGAGGAGAGCATCGAACACAAAGAACATCAACAACGATCATCGGACATATCGATATGTAGATCGCTATCACACTCTTTACTGGAGAGCAGTGGCTCGCGTTCNCAGTCTGATGGACGATATTCATCAGCAAACACGAAAACCTTTTTCGTAACATTTTAGCTGATAGATTCAGTTAAAGTCAACCGATGAAATGTATCCCTACATATCTCAAAAATTCTCCTTGTCCAACGGAATATCCTCTGTTCCACAAATATTGCCAATGTTAGGCAGGAAATTTTGAATCTTGAAAAGAAATCGCGCTTAAATAACCTAAATTGTATTTCTCATCTGAACGCATTCCATCAATTTCGATCAACACTGAAAGTGAGGTAAACGCTCAACAAAATTACCGGATGACATGGGGATATTTTGCAGCTGTAATGCAACAGCTCCAATCGATCGTTTCACGTCGACATCTTCATTTTCAATGGTGATCAATTCATGATCAGCGCTTGAAGAGCGGAAGGGGTTGTGACGAGACGGCATTGTGGCTGTGAGTTGTCGTAGGAGTGGTGCTCTGATCGGGCGATTTTGCCTCAGCTCCATCGAAGACTTCCTGATCATCAACTCTTAATGATCACTTGCAAACATATATCATTTGCAGTGCGATACATTTTCCAATGCCTTCCAGTGTTACGTCGTCATAAGAACGTTCAAAACGTATCGGTTAAAAGACGAGACAGAATGCAAAATAATACGTGACAATCATCACTGAACACTGACCTCGGTAATACTTTCGTCTCATCCAAAGTGCTCGAACGTTGTGTTTCTCGAGCACTCTGAGTTAATGACGGTAGCAGTGTCGATTTGTTGATGTTGCCTATCCCTGTGTGCTGCTTTTTCTGATCCAATAACATCTCCACCAACAAATCTAATTTCTTATCCATCTTTTCCATCTAAAACATAATTCAACATCATTGATTATCACATGACGATGAGTACTTTGAAGAAGTTGCTATGGATGTGCATCACGGAAGAANAGTTTACAAAATACGATAACTATAAACCTGTCGCTCAATAACGATCACACGATGTGTCAACGATACTTTCGTTTCCTCTTTTGGCTTACCCACAATTTGATCTAACCTGAAAGTGGATAACTTTCGATACTTTCATGCAATACCATCAGCGAGCGTTATTCACAGCCACTGAGCGCTGTTCTGATGAGAAATTAAGCGACTCGAACCTCTGTTGAACACACTTGACACGTGCTTGTAGATCGACATGACCCGCTGAGTACTGCTCGATCACATCCTTGACGTCGTATGGCTTGAGTGCTTCTTTGAATTTACGTCTAGCCACGAGCAGTTGTATGCGTCGTATTGCACGTATAACATTTTTCAACAACGGAGTGAATTCGTCGAGACTCTTCGGTTGCAGTGAGGGCAACTCGTCATCTGAACATTGCAAAAAACACTTTGTATGTTATGCATCCACCACATGCACCACACTTACAACCGTCAAATCTCATCCATCAGTAGTACTGTTCTCTAGGAGGAATTGTTTCGAAATTTCGAAATGAGAAAGTTCTGAAATAAGTTTGTGATTCTGCTGAGACTTGAATTTCATCAACTAACAATCTCTTAGGAAACATACTAGCCAGAGCCTTAGGTATGTCTCAAACAGAGCATCAGCTTTAGTTTCATTGCTAACGAGTTTCAGCATCGCATTCAATCGATCGAGTATTCGCCCGATCGTCAACTTATTGTTAGTAAGCATCATAACAATAATATCAAACTGATAACAACAAGAACCATCAAAACATTCAACAACAAGAAAAATGCGTATAGAAGGTAAGTGGACAACATCATTGACAAATGATTTGTTAATTAACGAAGAACCAACGAGACGAGACAACATCATGCTGAATGAACATCACGACCCACAAACAAATAGTTCAGATGCATCACAGGTGCAATCGTACATACCAGCGAACAACCTTCAGCGATGATCAAAATCGCACACAAAAAACGGATACTGTTGTCAGAATGCATGGTGTTTAAGATTTGCTATGATTCTTGGATAAAAAGAATGTTTCTAAGTACTCTTTTTTAATGTTCTCTAATGAAGCACTCAAAAAACTCTGATCGTGAATACTCTAGTGAGGCGTCCATTTGCTGATACACATGAATGTTGCACTATTCACAAACATATATTTCTCCTCATCTGGCGAGAAATCCACTTCTAAACTGATTACATTCTCAGCTCCAAATTCCACCCTCTTAAGTACGATAAGAGGTCATCAGCAATACATAAGTAAAATGGATGGGTTTCGGCTACAGAAAGAGAGCAACATTTTCATTCTCCTTTTT